TCCTTTTGAAAACAGGCAACACATTGCGCTAACGTGCATCCGTTTTCTTGCTGCTTCGAAAAGTTTGTTTGGTCGAGCGTCTCTGGATGCCAAAAAGACGCGCAAAACAGAAAACAGGCAACACAAGAAATGCTTATAGTTCACAATTCACACAAACAAAGCTGAACACTTCATTATGCAAATCGTTTTACATGAATATCAATTTGAATTGGCTGAAAACCAAAACAATCCCGCCTTTTCCCAAGGCCCATATACCTAAAACTCTGAGGCCATTGTTGAGAAACCATAGAGCCAGTGCGTGAAACCCCGCCGCCTTCATCCGAACCCACCGTCATGACATCATCATCCTCTTCTTCCTCCTCAATCCCGTCCTCCGCCGCCTCCGTGTCTCCGTCATCCTCCAAGAAATACTCCGACGAGTCCCTCTTCTCAGGCGCCATTTCTCAAGCACCTGGTGGGCCAAATTAATTAAATTTGGAAAAAAAAGGGCAAGCTTGTGTACTCGAGTGCGAGAGAGATGCAGAAAGAGAATTTCAAACGGGTTTTTCCTCCGCCGTAGGCCCGCCGCTAGCTCTTGCTAAACGGGTGGCTGTGGATGTTGAAATCGAGATTTCAAGAACGAATCGCATAGCTCGAAAAGGACAGGAAAATATATAAGTAGTACTGTTTTATTCAGCGAAATGTAAAGTGTGATTGATTGAGAAACAAACAAGATAATGCCATGCTTTCAAATAAAAATACACAATTTTGGCGGCTAATGAAAAGTTTCTAGTAAAAATCGAATATTTTTTAAACACTACTACTTTCCATGTCAAACAAAAATCAAATCTTTTTGAAATACAAAAAATATTTAGATAGAGAGCATCAAAGGTTAATAGAACTTTTTGGAGATTCATAATAAATACTTATAAAATATATGGAGAACTTCAATTATTTGTGCTATAATTGGCACGTTTTTCTATATCAGAAGAAATTCCAGAAATTTTGGCCTGATTTTTGGATATTGTGTCTTCACTTTATATTTTGAAATAATTATGTAAACTATAATAGTACTATTTTTTTAAATTTATTTTTTAAGTACTTATAGTAATAAATATTAAATATCTTAGTAAAATTACCTAATAAAATATTTATTTCATAATTTATATTTATGCAAAAAATAATGAAATTTATTTTAAAAGTTAAAAAAATATATTTTAAATTAATTTAAATCTAAATATGTGATGACATTAAAAAATAACCTGTTTAGAAAAATAAACAAAGTAATTTTCCTAAATATATTTATAATTATTTAATATATAAATTTTAAAATAATAGTATTTGGGTTTATATATTTATGTAAGAATGTAAATTTAGTGTCTTAAATTGAGAACTAGAATGTAAAAGTAAGTCTTTAATTGAGAATAACTTAAAATTGAAACCCTCAAATGAAAATGTTGAAAATTCAAGTCTTATTGTGACACAATAACAAATAGTTAATGCTTACAATAAAATTTTCCCAAAAAATTCAACATGTATCTTATTTTCTTGTAATCTTGTACATTTATTATTATACTTTAAACTGTGAATATACTTTAAACTGTGTTTATTCACAGTTTAGGATATTAACCTATATTTCCAACAAAAGGATAATCCATGATTTCTGTTTCCAGCTTATGGGCTAGAGCTATTAAAAGAATCGAATTGTTTGCAATTTTGACTCATTAAGTCTCGAGTTTAATTTGTCAATTTTGATAAATAAAATGAGCTCGAGCTCATTTTATCAAGAGATCTAGCTCGACTCGTTTACAACTCTATTTATAGAATATAATATTTTGTCATTTGCCATTTGGCATCTTAAAAGGCATTGCGAGGTTTTCAACCAATTCAATAACAAGAATCATTTTATAAATCTTCTTAAATAACTTATTACTTTATTGTGGCAAAGCAATTTATTAGGGAATTAAAACAAGCTTGATAAAGAGGGATGAAAAAAAGGTGGAGTTAATATAATTGAATCCCTCAAATACTACACAACTGTACAATTCTTTTCTTAGCCACCAATATTACTCTTACCAACTATACATCTCTTGCATTTGAAAGCAAAAGCACATCAAACAATTGAAGGGTACAAAAGATTTATATCCTTTGCTTGATGCTCATAACCTTCACTATTGCATATGCCCCTTTCTCTCGTAGATCAAACCTTAAAATCAGTAGCATAAAACATTGTTGAATAAAATTTTTGTCTCAAAGTTCTCTTGCCAATATGGGACAGACCCTCGTGAAATCCGGTACGTTACATTTCTTCTTTTCACTCGCGACACGAACACGAATTGAGCGCAATCATATATGCGCACGAACGTATATAGATTCAAACGTTTGTCGATTTCTCTTTTCTTTTTCTTTATACGATAGGAAATGAGGAGAAAAAGGATAAAGAAATTGGACCTGTGCTTGAAGAATGCTATCACAAATACTTTGTGAACACCATGGATTGGAGCTCAGCAGATTTCCACCATGCAATTTGCCTAACAATAGAGTATTTTAAACTTTATGAGTACTATATTATTATTAATTTGCATTAACTAATAATTACTTATGGGATTTTCAATAATTTTGTTCATTCTTCATAGGGAAATCAACAAAACTATAGGGAGCACTCAACTTAGGGTGCCACAGAACAGCACACTCCAACATGCATACCAAGTAAAAACATTCGCTTCCTAGTCAAAATTCAATAATTCTGTTAAACGAAACAATCGAAATTACTCGATTGCCGTTTTTTCTAATCTTAATGTACTAAAGAAGTACATTCAAAAATACTTGCTTTTTTTTTTTTTTTTTTTTTT